TGCTAAGGAAAAAAAAACAATCGAACATATAATCACATGTGAATAAACATATTTAGTATACAAAAAAATCAAAGAACAAGTATAGAAATAGCTCGACAAAGACAAAAGGAAGGAAGAAAATTGGAATTTAACAATATACAATAGGCTATCTAAGATGAACAGAAAGAAAGGCACTAGAAAAAAAAAGAATGGATAAGAGGCATATTTAGCAAAGATGATGCAGAAAAAATCAAAAGTATCATCAGTTTGGAGAGAATGATGATCAAATTTTAGAGCCTTTTTTGGCATATTTAGATAGAACTGGTATACAAAGAAATTTGGAAAATTTGATACAAGAATATAGAGATATAGAAGAAAAAGAAAAGGATCTCGAAAAAAGAAAAATATTCATGAAAAGAAAAAGAAAAGAACAAACAGAGGAAAGCATCTACAAAGAAAAAAACAATTAAAAAGTAGATGAGAATACAGAAGCAAATAATGTTAGTCTTAAAATAGCATTAGATAGTATAGCTAGGGAAGTAAAAGAGGGAATAATAGATAGTTGGAGTTAAAAACAGGTATGATAGGCTGTGGCGTCCTTCTTATTTTGACTTGTAGTTTATAAATTATAAACTATTTCAGGATAGAATAAAGGTCACTATAGCAGATCACATATAGGTATCTATAGGATAACCAGATGAGTCATAGCTTAAAAAATTAGTCATTAGATAGTATATTACTAAATAATGTTGTTTTTATATGAAAAACAATTCTAAATAAAGTTATGGCATGACTGCTGAATATAAAAAAAAAATAAATAAAATAATAGTAAACATGAAAAAATCTAATTCAGAATATTAATATAAAATAATTTTAATTATAATACTAGTTTCTATTTACATTGAATTCTTGATTCTAATTATAAATATAAAACTATATCTTTAACCTCTTATAAAATTTATAAATTTATAAATTATGCTTCATTGCTTCATATTACTATCTATTTCATTAGCAGTACATTTCTGTTTGTAAAATTGTAAATAATTATTATAAATAAAATGTAAAGTTTCTAAAAATGAATTGCTAAACTTATATAAAATTCATAAATTATAAATTTATGCTTATTGGCTAAATTAAACTATTTAAACATACCTTTAATCTAATTTCTGAATTATCTCACTGATTTTAATTTAAAAAAAAATTTGGAATGCAACTCTAATTAAAATAAACCTGTGTTAACTTATAAATAAAAAAAAAAGAATTTAAAAGGAATTATTAATTTGTTATTAAATAATACTTTTTTTAAAAAAAATAAATAAATAAATAAATTTACCTTATCTTTCAAATGCTCTAGCCATTGTTGATAACTCATTACTATATCTATACAATCTTCTATGATATGAGACAAGAACTATAACTGTAATAAAGTATCACTGCTATCTTCTTTTACTATATAAAGATAAGAATAATAAACACCTCACTAGGATTCTCGAATTTTACCAATAATCGCATTCATTTGTTGTGAGAATAAATTGTCTTGTTATAATAAGGTACACTATAATTCAAAAATTGTAGTTTTAAATATTAATGGGTGACTTAGAATTACAAAATTACAAAAAAAAAAAAAATTTCAAAATATAACAGACCTTGTCAGTATAGACTTCTTCATATGAATGAATATTAAATAAATCCATATACAATTGAGGTACAACTTGTCTACCAAGCCAGATAAAAATATTTTAACCATCTTCTAATAAATTCTAATTTTTTGCTACTTAAATTAAGAGATAGTGGTATAATTATTTCATTTAATCTATATGTTCTAGCCTTATTAGAGTATAATAAAAAAATTAAATCACTTTAGCATGTTATAGACCTAATATAACTTATATCTTTAATAGTATGTATTTCAGTAATAAGTATACGATCTTCTTTTTGTCCAAAACAAACATTCTCACTATGGTAAAAAGTAGCTTCAATTAATATACACTTTCAAGACTGTAGTTATTAACGATATATCAAGATATACACAGTATTAAATAAATATGCATATCTAAGTCAGCCTTAAAATACCTATTTGCAGAGTTAGAAATAAGTTCTTTGTACTCGGCGAGATGTGTATAGTATTTAGAGCAGATGTATATTCACTCATTATCTAAAAATGTCTGATACTGATAATCCTTATTAGAGGCTATATCATTAATTTTTTATTAAGAAGTTTGTTGACACATATGTTAAAAGAACTATCACTATATGATTTACTGTGTTTCATATAGTAAACAGCAAAAAAATGTAGCCAATTATGAAAATTGACCTTAATTACCACAGAAAGCTACAAAATCACCACAAAAGAATAATTGTGAAAGTAGATGATTAATGAACTTTAAAGATGAGCAGTAATTATTAGAATAAAAAGTAGAAAAATAAGCACAGTAAAGTACCAAATTAGAACTAAAGAAGAGAGCAGAAATAGCAGAATTTGTCTTAATTTAATTTTAGCCACAGCATAAAATCTCTACTTTTTTCATTTATGAGAGCAAGGTTAAATTGTAGCTTATTAGACTCACTATATATATAAAAAAAAGTCATACGCTAATAACTTTTTTTCATTATATTGTATAGTGACAACCTTGATAGGAGTATATAGGCTACTAAAAGAAAAAACCAAGGAATTGACTTTGTAAAAAATTAATACCTAAACTAGTAAACAAGATCGTCTAAAAATTTTTAATCAATTAGCTAGTTGATATGATTAATTAGTTCAAAAATTTTCAGTTGATTATTTGTTAACTAGACCAACTAATTGATCAAACGTAGTTTGAAGATTTATTATTTCCTGTTGATCATTTATTTTCTGTTGATCATTTATTGCCTATGATTTTAGCATAAATACATAACTATATGTAATATTTTTTGGGTTAAAACAACTACCAATACTTATTAAGTTGATTGAGTATCTGATCTACTGCAGATCCTGAGGGTGTAAGAGATAATTTATTGCAAATTATTAGTGAGTTATAAATTGTATAAATGAATTGAATTATTCAAATTATAAGTTGACGAGTCAAATCTCTATTATCGGATAAACATCATAATTAAATTAAGGTAATTGAGTATCTGGAATTTTTCCCTAGACAAAATTTTCTTTTAATATAGAAATTTATTGTTATAAAGATAAACTATCAAACATGATCAAATTCTTTAAATTCTGCAAACACGTGATTAAATAATAAGAAAAACATTGCGAATATTTAAATAATTATATTTTTTGTGCATCAAAGATAATTTTATCTTGCGCCAAATACCCTGTTTTAATATTAATGCAAGCTGATGCTAAATGTAAGCTTACATAACATCAACACATGGGAATTCACTTGTAGTATAGGGTTTTTAAATTTCCGAATAAAATGTTGAATTATTAGAATAAATTTAGAGTAATCCTACCTCTTCAGCATATAAAAGAATTTCAATACATCTTCTGTGTTTTCTAAAGCCATAGTAAAAATGTTAGTAAAAATGTTACTCTCCTTAAATACACCCTCAATGTCATCAAGTGTCAAAGATTTCGCAAATATAAGATGTCTCTGGAAGAGATATCTCTAATTAATCACTACATTGTAAATAAAACTTGTAAATTCAAAAATTACAGTAACATACAGAAATGAAATTTTACAAAAATACCTATTTTTAAATTTATTCCAACATGACTTGAAAACATTTGCATCTGCGTCGATTGGATTCATATTTGATAGTGTAAAAGTATCTCTATTATATCATTAGTCTGAATAATTAATTTATATAAGGTAAGTAAAAGAAAAGTTGAGTGACTACTTTACAAAAATCTGAAAATTTAAAAATTTGCAAAATATAAGCAAAATAAAGTATTTTATTAGTATTAAATTAGCATTTCTACTAATTTATTACTTTATC